AAGAAGCCAACAAGAGACGGACGGAACCCACTCTCAGTATAGTGAGAGCTGTGTGTGTTTTTCACGCTTGTATGTAAGAAACCTGTATGCAAGAAGCTACAAGGATATACAGTGGGATCCTCATCATAATTTCCAGTGCTCCCTCACTAGGGACAGTTGCAAACCCTTAGCCAATGTGGCTAAAGGTATAATCTGTTCTGCTCTGGCCAGGATTCTTTTTCAGGCACCCCAGTCCTCTTCTGTGTGTGCCATGCTATTCTTATCCTACAGCTGTCCGTGTCAGAATCTCAGTCCTTTGGGTCAGGGCCTATATTACTATTTGAAGAAAATCTTTTAGCCTTTGCTGACCCAATTGCATGAAGTTTCCTTTAAATTCAATTTGTATTGGTAGTATTGCCAAAGCACTTTGTCTCTACTCGTAGGTAGAAAACACTAATTTGTCCATTCACTCAGCATTCTGTAACCTGAATGCTCTGTGTTCTCATACTATCAACTTCATTTGGATCTTTTTGTTCTCTGCCACACTGGAAAGAAGCTTCCCCCCGCTGGACAGAAGCAGGGATGCTGTTTTCTGTATAATACCAATAAGCATTCCCTACTCAGTGCAACAGTTCAGAATTTTTCTGTAAAATTATTTCATGCCCACTATTGATTAAAATACAAAAATGAGGAAAATTTTAATATATCACAACTGTATCACCTTAGCATGTAAATAAACTATTGATACTATAGAACATTTGTAGCAAATACAGATTAGAATGAGGGAAAAAGTAGATTTGGTGTGATTTTTGAGGGTTACAAGATACCCCTCCTATCTCAACCCAGGATTCCATCACTTTAGTTAGTTCAAAAAAGAAGGCATCCTTGCCCTCAATCTTTTCACCTTTGCTTGCTAGACACTTGGCAAATACTTGGCTCTGAGAAAATGGTCATTGAAGGTATGAGCTTAGGACACATTAAGCTGATGCAAAGGTGCAGTGGGTATAATCTACATTATAAGATACCCTTAAACACCTCAGGAGAGGGACATGGGACAGCATGAGAACAGTCTCTAGGATGAAGGATGTTGAAATAGATCTTTTCAACACATTTGATAAACATTTACTGAATTTCTAGTGTGACAGAAACAACTGCCTTAATCCTAAGGCAAAATTAGACTCAGTCCCTTCTCCTTAGCATCTCACAATCTATTCAGGAGAGAGAGACACAACCATAGTTCATTGTGGCAAGTTACAATAGGGTACATATAAAATTGTATGGAAACACTGACCTTCCTCTACTTCCACCTCCATCCCCCTGAAGAAAGGAAGTTGTAATGCATGTGCACATATCAGCAACACTTAGGTGCTAGTAATATTTTTGACCCAATAGAAAAAAATCCAATAGTCACCCATCAAAGTTACTAAGTATATATGATGTACTTGGTTCCTAATAAGTCCAGGATTTGGGGCAACACAGAAGTAGTAACACATTATCCCTGCATTTTAATGAGCTTATAGTCTACCCAGGAGCACAATCTATGTGCATGAAAAGTAAAATAACACAAGATAATGTGTTACTAAGTATCAAATGGGTGTCATAGCAAATTGGTGCAAGTTTCATAGCAAATTGGTGCAATACAGTTAAAAATAGAGAGCAAGGGCTACCCCTGGTGGCACAGTGGTTAAGAATCTGCCTGCCAATGCAGGGGTTACGGGTTCGAGCCCTGGTCTGGGAAGATTCCACATGCCACAGAGAAACTAAGCTCGTGCGTCACAACTACTGAGCCCACGTGCTGCAACTACTGAAGCCCGCACACCTAGAGCCCATGCTCCGCAGCAAGAGAAGCCACGGCAATGAGAAGCCCGCGCACCGCGACGAAGAGTAGCCCCGCTCGCCGCTACTAAAGAAAGCCAGCGCGCAGCAATGAACACCCGACGCAGCCGACAATTAATTAATTAATTAATTTTTAAAAAGAGCATAATAATGATTGGCTGTAATTGTCAGGCAGAGGTGGAACTGAGGTTGGTGCCTAAAGATGACTGGAATTTGGGGAGGTATGAATTCATAGACCAGAAAGATGGCCAAATAAATAAATTTCAGCTTAGTGGAAGAAATGTGACAATAAAGGCATGCTTGAGGATCACAGGCAGGGGCACGGAAATCAGCAATTCATGATGGGGAGGAAGATTAAAGAAGTCTTCCCAGGGCTTCCCTGGTGGCTCAGTGGTTGAGAGTCCGCCTGCCGATGCAGGGAACGCGGGTTCGTGCCCCGGTCCGGGAAGATCCCACATGCCGCGGAGCGGCTGGGCCCGTGAGCCATGGCCGCTGAGCCTGCGCGTCCGGAGCCTGTGCCCCGCAACGGGAGAGGCCACCACAGTGAGAGGCCCGCGTACGGCAAAAAAAAAAAAAAAGAAGAAGTCTTCCCAAAAGAAATATCCCTTGAGCTGAGTTTTAGTGGACAAACTGAAGAATATCTAGATAAAAAAGAGAAATATCCACATATGCAAAGGCACAGAGACATGAAGAACTTGATATGTTCAGACAAATACTTGGGAACTGCAGATACTGCACACGGCAGGAGTGAAGGATGAGTTTGTGGAAGGGAAAGGAGGTTAAAAAGAGGTAGACAGGAACCAAAAAGTAAAGGACTATATATATATATATATATATATATATATAGTATATATATATATATATATATATATATATATATATATATATTACTATAAAGAGTTTGATTTTTATCATGGGAGGTATTGGAGGGTTTTAAGCATCAGGATGAGGAGAGACATGATCAGATTTGTACTGTAGAAAGATCACACTAGAAATATTATAGAATGACTTTTGAGGTTTCTGACAGGATGGCGGTGTCATTCACTAAGAGAACACAGGAAAAGTAGATTGGGGGGACGTTTTTGAGTTTAATTTTTGGATGGTTTCCTAAGCGCTGCCGTAACAAATGATCACAAACTTGGTGGCTTCAAACAACAGAAACTGATTCTCTCACAGTTCTGAAAGTTAGAAGTTAGCAGGGTTGGTTCCTTCTGGAGCCTCTAAGGGAGAATCTGTCTCAGGCTGCTCTCCTAGTTTTTGGTGACAAGTCTTGGCATCCCTTGCCTTGTAGACACATGGCTCCAATCTCTGCCTCTGTCTTCACATCATCTTCTCCCATGTGTGTGTCTCTGTCCTCACCTCTTCTTTACAGCCTACTCTAAATCCAGAGTGATCGCATCTTGAGATCCTTAACTTTATTACATCTGCAAAGACCCTATTCCCCAAAAATGTCACATTCGCAGGTACTGGAAATTAGGACTTGGATATATCTTTTGCGGAGGGAACACTATTTAACCCACTATAATGTGAATGAATGGATAACTGTCTCTATGTTCTGACTAGTACTCTAGCCTTGCGGAGCTCTGCTTTGCACTTCTAAGTGCTAATAATATGTAACAGGCAAAAGGAAGTGCAGAATTAAAGGTTATGTGATATGGCTGAAAAAGCAAACACTTTAGTCAAGTGGACTTAGGTTCAGTCCTGGCTCTTTAGTAGTTGAAAGCTTGGTTAGGTGTTTAACCTCTATGAGCCTTGATTTCTTCATTTGTAAAATGGGGATAACATGACCTATCTCATAAGACTGCTGGGAGAATTGGACTTAAAATATTATTTCAGAAAAAAAAAAGCTTGAAGATAATGCATTTGGGACTGACCTACATTAAATTTGTGGTCTTATGAGTGAATTTAAAGACTGTACAGTAATTGGCATCAAGGAGAATAGTGAGGTGTCCTTTCACAGAGATGGAGATCAGCAAGGAGGAATCCAAGAGAAGGTAATTTTTTTTTCAGATAGCCTAAGGGGAATTTGGCATTAGGAAAATCAGGTATCTCACCACCTAAGTGCGAGAGAGGTTGGCAAAATCAAGGCAGGGCTGCTGGTCTTAGAAACTGGGGTATCAGGCACATTTCTAAGACATTTATTAAGTTTCCTTACTGTGTTAGGCATTGGAGATAAAAGAGTGAGTAAGATACGGGCGTTCCAGATAGAGCTCCCTGTTTTTTAGATGAAATTAGACAGGTTAACAAAATAGAATACAGTGCAATCTAAAGTGTGTGTAGAAAACCAGGAGCAGAGTCAAGGGACAGACCAGCTAAAACTGCACATACGCCTGGGAAGGCTTTAAAGAGAATGCGACATTTGAATGGATTTTTGGAGGACGTATAAGAGTGTGCTTGCCAGAAAAAAAGAGAAGGAATTTCCAAGCAGAGGGAAAAAAAGGCAAAGCATAGGAAGTAAGGACTACAGGACCAGAATTGGAGACAGGAAATAAGGATCAGTCAAAAGCCCTGTTATCTGAATGGATAATTGGGACCACAGTCAAGACTATTCAAAGAGACTTACTGCTGACTCCCAAAGTATTGGGCTATAACTTATAGTCTTCCTGCCTCAGATGAGGTTTGTCCTAGAGATCCAGGCAGGAGTGAGCCTAGAGATGCAAATCAATTGGTTCCAGCATTTGGGAAAGGATAGGCAGAGACTGACGACCAGGTAGGTACTGACATTAGCCAAAACCAGAGGAGAGAAGGGAAAAGATTATGAGGGACTTACCACGTGGGCGAGTGTCTAACTTAAACTTCACGGCAGTCCTCCGAAGTAAAGTAGGCAGAAAGAGAAACAGCGGCTCCAGTCATCGAAAAGCAAAACTGACCTAGTTCCCAGAGAAAGGAAAACTTGGCCAGCAGGTAGGTCTCTTCGGTGCTTCCTGCTGGGTTAGGCAGGCCTAGGGCCCAAAGGTGCTTCGGAGAACTGGTTTCGGCTACCTGAGGAACAGTTCTTGGAACGGTTCTTGCACCTTGATTGCCACTGCCCTCTTTTTTTTTTTTCTTAATAAAAGGATTATTGGATTATATTGACTCGACTGGGAACCAGGAATGTGTACTCGAGTTACTTGTGTATCTGAGTGGCTTCCTGGTGTGCAGTAAATATCTGTTAAATCGGGTTCCCCAGGAGATACATCGACACTATGTCCAACCCACCTCCAATACTACAGAAAAAAGCATCAGACTTCACAGGCCCTCCAGAGCTAAGAAGCATCCCTGAAGTGATTGTATGTCCTCTTAAGGGGTCTCGGTTTTCAAGATTTCCGCTACGTAATCGGCAGCTTGTTAACTTTTGCCACATTATCACCACCTCCTTCCTCGTCCACGCGTACTCTCCTCTCTCCAGGGAGATCCCGGCCAGGGCAGCAAGGAGGACTCGGGATGGCACCAGCCCCTCGTGATGGGGAAAGGAGGGCAAAGGGAGAGGCGTCTTCCGTATTTTGAGGGCGCCCTTTTGGAGGAATCCAGAGGCAGCCAGAGGTCGCGAGCAATCCCGGTGCGTGGGAAAACGCGCCCGGAGGCCACCGCCTGGGGGCCGGGGCCCCCGCGGCCGCCGCGGGCTCGGAACCTCCCTGCCGGGGCGGGGCGAGGTTGGAGGTGGGGAGGGGCGGGGAGGGGCTGGGCCCCCCTCTCGCCCCTCCAGGGCGCAGGCGCAGGCGCGCGGGGTGCGGCCGCGGCTGGGAGGGCGGTGGCAGCGGCGGCGGCGGTGGCCAGCGCTGGAAGATGGCGGCATCGGCGGCGGCGGCGGCAGCGGCGGCGGCTGCTGCGGCGGTGGCGGCAGCCGAGCAGGTCTGTGAGCCCCGCCGTGGCCGGGCGCTGGAGGGCCAGCGGAGGCCGGGGGGCTGCCGGCGGGCGGGAGGAGCTGTCCGCAGTCCGCGATGCTGGCAAAGGCCGGGCGGGACCCCAGGCAGGGGCCCCGGGGCGGAGAAGCGGGAGCCAGCCCCGGCCCTCGGCCTGGCCTGGCTGTCCGTCGGCGGGGTGAGGAGGGGTCGCTGTCCTGAGGGCCCGGGAGGCGGCCGTGGCAGCCGGGAGCCTGGGCCAGGTCGTGCCGGGGACATGCCCTGCTCGGTGGCCAGCGAAGATGCAGGCAAAAATAACTCCAGCCAGCGATCCAAGAGCCTCCCCTGACACCAGCCAAGAAACACTCAGCTGTTGCCTGGGTGTCAGCTTGCAGGCCCTTCGTGTGTGCCATCCCCATATGCTGGCATCCACGCTTCTCCCGCTTTGGATTTTGGAGACAGTCACCAATATAAAACTATCTCCTATCCAGTTGGTTTAAAATCATTTTTTAAAATGCTTTATCAAGTATTTCCTGATCTGCATTGTAAACGGGTAACTTAGAATAATCGTTTAAAAGGCTATTTTCTTACAAAAAGCAAGCTATACATAGGCACACATGCACACACACATATATACATACCTGTAGTTACTAGGGTGATTTGTTATAATAAAAATAATTTTGATAGTCACTTTTTCCCCTAACTGTTATTTCCTTTTAAAAAGAAACTGTGGTATGATAGTTTCTTTGGGAAAGTCTCATTCTTCAACACTGCTGAAAAAATACACAAGTCAAGTAGCCAACATTCTGTTTGCAGAACTGGAAAGATTTTCTTAGGCAATTAACAGCTTTTAGAGACACAGTAGATAGATATCACTGGAACAGTCATTCTGAGGGACATAAAAAATAAAAGACATGGCATCTGCCTTCAAAGCTTAAAGTCAAACTGCCAGATAAATGCAGAAAAATCAGCTAAAGATGGTAGGCAAGCTACAGGTCCTAACAATAAAATAAAATCTAAAGGAGTGAGTGAAATTGAAAGGAGACAAATCTTCTTGAAGCTGTTGAGATTAAAATTGTCCCTTGGCTTTCCTGATTTTCCTCCTGATTGATCAGTGGCCGTTTTAGATGGTTCTTTTTTCATCTGCATCACCTGTTAATGTTCTTTTTTTTTTTTTTGCGGTACGCGGGCCTCTCACTGCCGCGGTTTCTCCCGCTGCGGAGCACAGGCTCCGGACGCTCAGGCTCAGCGGCCACGGCTCACGGGCCCAGCCGCTCCGCGGCATGTGGGATCTTCCCCGACCGGGGCACGAACTCGTGTCCCCTGCATCGGCAGGCAGACTCTCAACCACTGCGCCACCAGGGAAGCCCTGTTAATGCTCTTGAAGTTCCACTGAACTTCTCTTCTTGCTTTACACCTGCAATGGGCAATCTGATCCATTCCTCGATCTCTACTTCAGAGTTAGGCATTTATGTCTCCATCCTGAACTTAACTGAATTTTCCACAGGCACCCCAAACTCAAAAATGTTGGATTGGATCATATTCACCATTAAAAGGGTTACAGCCATCCATTCAACTTGGTTCACCTCGCCACAAAATTGGGAGCAGGGCGGGCTCATGGGAACTCAGAAGGGACCCACATTTGGTTTAATGCTCTGCTGTCCCAAGCTTGATATTTGAGCAGAGGACCTCACATTTTCTTTTTGCTCTGGACCCCACAAATTATGTAGCGGGTCCTACTTGGGAGTCATCTTAGATGCCTCTAAGTCACACTCACATCCAGTCAATCACCAGGTCCTTTCGGTTCTACCTCTTAAGGCTTCTCCCCAATCTTCTCTTCATATGCAGCGCCAAAGCTCAGTCAAGCCTTCATTTGGACTGTTGGAGAAACCTGTTGTTGAAATCTCCATCTCTAAACTCTTCTATTCCAATTCATCTCTTTTTGGTTTGATTTTGCTATAATGCAGATCTGATTATATCACTGACCTATTTGAAATCTGCAGTAGTTCCCCATTGCCTTCAGGGTAAAATTCATCATTCTAGATGTGATACTTACGTCCACTCATTTTCTAGCCCCTAACCACATCTCACCTCAATTTTTGTCCCATTCCTATACTCATCCTCTTCACCATCCACATAAAGCTACCAAAATTAGTTTGCAGTGATGACTTATACTCAAAGTTCCCATGCTGTTCCCTCTGCCTGGAATGCCTTTCTCTGTACTTTGCTTGGCTAACTCCTGTTTGTCCTTCAAGATTCAACTGAAGCCCCAACTTTTCTTAAAAGCCTTCAACTGATGCCCCTGCTCGCTAAGTCGAGTGGCATTCCTCTTATGCACTCTTTCAGTATTGTGTGCATTGCTGTACGACAGCACTTGCCATGTTGAACTGCAATCGCTAGTGACCCTGTCTATCTACTCTGCTGGCCTATAAGTAAGTTTGTTGAGGGCAGCTGCTCTACCTTGCTCATCTTGGTAATCTGGAGCCTCTGACATATAGTAACTCCAGTAAATGGTAAGTGCATCAAATGAAATATAATACTGTACATGAATTGGCAGAGAAAATTAAAGAATGCATCTCAGGAGGGTAAGTTTTGCCCTGTCTCTCTATTATGTAGACCTATATTCAAACTCGGGCTAAGATTTTTAAATTGCCCACCTGTCAGCACTGTCATAAACCCATACTGTGTCTGTGAAAATTAGAAGCAAGCACACTTCCCCTAAGATATTTTATTGCTTTTGGCTGCCAAAATGCATGTTCAACTCTAAAATGTTTGAGTGTCAATGCACCCTCATAGCTGTTGTACCTCATGCAGATATACAACCTACACAACTGTATTCAGCAACTTGTTTTGTGTTAAATCTGTTGAGTAGATTGAATTATCTTCTACAGAGCCCTTTCTTACCGCTTTGTAGAATTTTAAAATTTTTGTCTCTGCCACATTACCCACAATGATTATTCCTGTCTTTTTCCATTTTCCATAAGCCCTCAACCAGCCTGCTACCCCTGCCACCACAATAAGATTCCAGCTGCCCTCTCCACTCTTTCTTGGCAGATGACCTTGCCTTTTACATCCCCAGGGAAAAGAAGAATTTTTTTTTTTTTTTCTCTTCTTGGTGTGAACCATTTCAATGAGGTGGGAACCCACCCTTTAAGACTGGTTTCTCCTGTACTATCACTTTTCTTTCCCATCTCCTGAAAGATCTTATTTCCCTCATTCTTCTGCCCTACTCTGAGATCTTTGACCTTTGCCCTTCTTGGCATCTTTCCCTCTGCCACCAAACATACAAGTCTTCTGCAAATTGTTGTGAGGAGAGGATGAAGAGATACTAACAACAACAAGAACAAGCACAATTTTCCTCCGACAGTACATAATTCTTTAGTTAGTCTTCTGTCTTAACACTTCTGTCTTTCTGGACTCGAAAATAAATGTATACATGCTGGCATCCTTTCAGGACTATCCCTACTTACCAATTTGCTGCTCAAAGTTCGTATTTGAAAGTCACAGAGGCACTTCTTGACAAATTCAGCAACACGGCACATCCGTAGTTTTCTTGTATTTCTCATTTTCCACTGTTCCTGCACATTTAAAGTTTTCCATGGGTACATCCTTGGCTTTTTATTCTCTTCCTCTATACTGTTTTTTACAGCAAACTGATGTGGTCTCATAGATTTAATTTACCTTGAAGGTGAAGACTCTCAAATCTGTATTTCTAGTCCTGGCCGACCTAATACCCCATCCCATCCTTCCCATTGCCTTTAAGGCAGGTGGTTATTTCTCAATCAGTTCAAATGCAACATGTGTAAAATCTCCCTGCTTCATTCCCCATATTTAAATAGTCACCATTCAGTAAACATGAGGGGCTTTTTTTTTAACCTGCTACAAATTCACTTAACTCTTCTCTCGAAGTATATTTTAAATCTATCCTTTTTCATCCCACCTTGGTTTAGGCCCTCAATACTTCAGGCCTCCATTACCACAGCATCCCAACAGCCTACTTGCTGGTTTTCCTCTTTCCTGTGTCTCCTGCAAATGCCCACACATTGAGCATCCTGAAACGTATGTCATTCATCTTCAGAGACTTCCAGTGACTCCCAAATAAGCAGACATAAAGACTAGAGTGTGTACCCAAATGTCCAAAAACTCACAACCTATTCTCCATTTCCAACTTGATTCTGCCTCCATTGCCAGATTTGACCCATCTACTCCTCCTGGTTTCCCTGACAACTCCAAGCCCTCCTGTCTCTTCTCCCATGAACTCCACAGGATGTATTGTCTCAACTATTGATTTTGGCATCTGAACATACAGAGCATTTTATTGCATTGCTAACTGTTTTGTGTACCCAAATCACAATTGTAATATCTGGAGGATAAGGATCTTGTCCTATATTTCTTTTGTATTCCTATTTATAGTATTAGTGTTTAAGCATAAAGTGCTTAATAAATGCCTATTCAATAAATTAATTTTCTCAGAGCTCTGAAAAATATCAAAATTGGGCAGTATTCCATTCTACTCCTTCCTTTTGTGTTCATGATATACCAGATTATTACCTAAAATGTCTTTCAACCATAGTCGAAAGTCAGAGGTTCTCAAACTCTTTGGTCTCAGGTTCTCTTTATACTCTTTTTTTTTTTTAAGATTTTTTTTTTTTTTTTTAGATGTGGACCATCTTTAAAGTCTTTATTGAATTTGTTACAATATTGCTTCTGTTTTGGTTTTTTGGCGTGAGGCATGTGGGATCTTAGCTTCCCGACCAGGGATCAAATGTGCACCCCCTGCATTGGAAGGCAAAGTCCTGACCACTGGACCGTCAGAGAAGTTCCGCTCTTGATACTCTTAAAAATGACTGAGGGGGCTTCCCTGGTGGCGCAGTGGTTGAGAGTCCGCCTGCCGATGCAGGGGACGTGGGTTCGTGCCCCGGTCTGGGAAGATTGCACATGCCGCGGAGCGGCTGGGCCCGTGAGCCATGGCCGCTGAGCCTGTGCGTCCGGAGCCTGTGCTCCGCAACCGGAGAGGCCACAGCAGTGAGAGGCCCGCGTACCGCAAAAAAAAAAAAAAAAAAAGACTGAGAATCCCAAAGAGCTTTTGTTTATGTGGGTTATACCTGTTGATACTTACCATATTAGAAATTTAAATTGAGAAATTTTGTAAACACAGGAGTATACAAACACACAGTCCATTAGCTGTTAGAGCAATGGTGTCATCACATATGGTCATGTAGCCTCTGGAAGCTTCACTGTACAGTTGACCCAGGAATGATACAGGGGTTAGAGGTGCTGATCCCCACACAGTCAAAAGTTCACGTATAGCTTTTGACTCCCCCAAAACCTAAACTAATAGAATGCTATTGACTGGAAGCCTTACTGGTTACCTAAACAGTCAATTAACATGTATTTTGTATGTTATATTTGTTATATACTGTATTCTTACAATAAAGTAAGCTAGAGGAAAGAAAATGTTATTAAGAAAATCATAAGAAAGGAGAAAATACATTTACAGTACTGTACTGTCTTTATCAATACCATAAATTTATGGCGTCTGTTTATAAGATGAATCATCTGTCAGCACCTACATCAATATTGTCTTATATGGTAAAAAACACTGTAGATGTTATACATATTACTAACACTGGACATCAAAAATGAAAAGAATGTGGAAAAGAAATTCATATTTATTTACGTGCATAACGATTCATGCATTGATAACGAAGAAGCAGCAGTATGGTTGCTTTACAGTAGCCTCGTGTAATCAGTACAGTTCCTTCACAGTAGCCTAACTTATACACTAATGAAAGGATCGTAATAAAATTTTTTATGGCATAGAGTATCACAGTCATATTCATAATATCTTTTTTAAAAAAACAGTTACATGGGATGATAGGCTGATACACAATTTCTCCAGTTATGAGAGAGAGAGAGAGAGAGAGAGACTGTACAGTAATGTAATTCTTTGAAAGCAAAGTTATAAAACAGTAAGAAAACTAGCATTATTAATTTTATATTAAATATCACTAAACTTATGTATCTACATATATTTTATGCATTCATGACGCACCTTTTTCTTAATGTTTTTGATATTGCTAGGCTACACAGTTTATCTGCAAGTTTTTTCAAATTGTTGCAAATCTCCAAATTTTTTTCCAGTATATTTACTGAAAAAAATCCACGTATAGGGCTTCCCTGGTGGCGCAGTAGTTGAGAGTCCGCCTGCCAATGCAGGGAACATGGGTTCATGCCCCAGTCGGGGAAGATCCCACAGGCCGCAGAGCAGCTGGGCCCGTGAGCCATGGCCGCTGAGCCTGCGCGTCTGGAGCC